GGGTAGTATGTGTACTTGTCGTGCAACAATTCAGCCTCCGTCGGAGCATCAGACCTAGACAGTGTCAACTCATTGACCCACAGAGGTTGTAGTAAGAGTAACGTACCGTAATATCTTCGCGTTCTTAGCAGTGTACCCGAAGGAAGCGATGTTGTAGTCCTCCACACACGTATCCATCTTCAGTTCCTCCGTGTGGACATACCGACGGACAAACGAATCTAAGGCTGTTTGCGGATCGATCCACGGATGATCCGGATCCGAACCCACGGATCAAGTGACTTCCGGGGGCTTGATCCGGATCCGCACGGATCAGAGCCGCTGGAAGAGCCGGAGCCACGGCTCCGACTCCGGCTCATCCGTGGATCGACCCACAGATCCACACATGTAATGTACCTTTCAAAAGATATATTGATGGTATGTTAAAGCTAATGTACTATCATTACAGGCTAAGCGGGGCGAGGGCATAGTGGGGGACACGGGGGACGAGGGGGACGCGGGGGACGCGAGCGTGACGCAGGGGAGGCGGGCGACGCGAGCGTGACGCAGGGGAGGCGGGCGACGCGAGCGTGACGCAGGGGAGGCGGGCGACGCGGCTGGCGATGTAGACGAGACGGGCGAGACACAAGGGACGTGGTAGACGCGGGGGCAAGGCGAGTGCAAGGCGAGGGCATGGAAGTTGACGCGGGCGTGGAGGATGACACGGGGGCGACGTGGGCGGGGGCGACGCGGAGAAAGCGGGTGTTGTGGTGACCGCACGGGAGACGCGGTGCAGGTGGGCGAGGTGGGTGACAGTGGAGTAGGCGGACAAGGTGGGTGTGGGTGACGCGGGCGAGGTGGTGGGTGACGCGGGCGAGGTGGTGGGCGACGCGGGAAATGCTGGCGACGCGGGCGCGACGCGTGCGGGCACAGGTGGGCGACGCGTGGGCAGGTGGGTGGCGTGGACAACGCGGGAATAGGAGACGGGCGACGCGGGCGAGGAGGTTGAGGGTGAGACGGGTGAGGGTGAGATGGAGTTGACGCGGGGGGGGGAGGGCAAGGCGTGTGGCGCAGGCGACGTCCTGAGGCGACGTGGCTGAGGTCCGAGGCAGAGAGAGGGGCGAGACAGCAGACGACGCGGATAACGCGAGGTAGGAGGGTGGACGGCGCCATGGCGGACGACGCGAAGAGCGGAGGGTGCGAGGGTGGACGGCGCCAGGAGCGCGAGGTGGACGAGGAAGGGGCGACGGGGGGCGGCGAGGGGGCGAGACGGGCTGGGGCGAGGTGGCGAGGTGGACAAGCGCAACGCGGATGAGCGCGAGCGCGAGCTGGCCAAGGCGTAGTTGGCACGGCCGGAACCTGGTAGGGGGAGGCAATGCGTGGAGCAGTGCGGGCGGGGGGAACTCACCAGAGGAGATCTGGGCCGCGGGAGCTCACCGCGACCCCACAGAACGGCCGCGCGCGCGCGCGCGAGATGACGCGAGGCGGGCGATGGTGAGACGGTCAAGGGCGCAGCGGGAGACATGGGGGCGACCGAAGGCGACGCGGACAAGGGCGACGCGGGGGCGACCGAGGGCGGCACAGACGAGGGCGACGTGGAGGCGAGGGTGAGCGAGGGTGTGGTGGACGACTCGGGGCAGCGAGCGCCGCGGGCGACACGGGGCTTATGGGCTTGTGGGCTTGTGGGCTTGAGGGCGAGGGCGAGGGTGATGCGGGCGAGGGATGAGGCGGCGAGGGCGTGGCGGAGAGGAGGGCGCCGGCGGGCGCGAGCGCGGAGAGCGCGGAGGGCGCAGAGGGTGGAGGGCGCGAGGTCAGAGGAGAGCGTGGACTTAGGTTAGCGCAGGGAGCATAGGGGGCGGTGAGGACTCACCAAATGAGATCGGGGTCGCGGGAGCTCACCGCGACCCCATGAAGATCCCCCCATGCCTGATAACAGCCTCGCGCGCGCACGCGATGACGCTGCGTGGACGCAGGGAGTGCGTGAGGGGCTGGAGAGGAGGACGGGCAAGAACACGCGCGAGACGCCGCGTTCGAATCCGAACATAGCCCGATCGGGACGGATTCCCGCATGCAGACGCCAGACGCGGGCGCCAAACACCCTGGAAGTGAACATAGGCCATGTTTTGTCTATTACTCGGTCAATTCTTGGCCAAATCACACAAGGATAATATCGTTAGAACGACGCTTCAAATGGATATTGAATAGTATCGGTTTTATAGTACATAAATACAAATATGAGCTATCACTCAAGAATCTGCGGATAATCCGTGGATCGAGCCGTAGATCCGCCAAATTTCAGCCCCCTCGATCCGGAGCCGCTGGGAGCCGGATCCGGGAAGAGCCGGAGCCGCCCGGCTCATGATCCCCGGCTCACAGCTCCGGATAATCGGCTCATGATCCGCCAAGTGAGCTGGACCTGCAAACAGCCTTAAACGAATCCCCCGATGGGATTGGCGGGAGGGCATTGTGGGCCGCGCCTTCAGAGAGGGACCAAACGGGCAGCTTGCAGAGCGTTGGAATGGGCGCGAAAGGGGATTGGGGAACATCAGTAATTTTTCACACGTCTGCGGGGCACTGCCCGTCTGTGACAGTGGCGGACAGTGACCCGCAGACGGACAGACGACAGTTGGACAGTAAAACCTAGCAGTTCAGCAGTTGACCACTGAGTCTTCTTGCACAGTTGCGCAGACGAAACAGTCAGAGCAGTTCGTCAGTGTCTTGATGGCGTGTGAAATCGGACAGGAATTAATGGGGATAAAATAATCGCATTATTGGGGTACAGTAGGCGACATTGTAACGACAGATACGTAGCAATGAACTATCGCAGAATCACAGCTACTCGAGAATTATGACTCCTTGGTCTGGCGCACGGCGGCGCGCATATGCGCCTTTCGGAGGGCGCGTGGTGGCTGGGTGAGCGCACTAGGCAGTTCTTAAGCCGTCATCTTGACCGGCGATCCGTGCGGGTTAACGGGGACCAGTCGTTCGCCCATGCCCAGTCAGGTTCAGGCGGCGCGATGGGAGAATGGGGTGCCGGTCGCGCCCCACAGGGTCGAGCAGGCGCGGGCGGAGCAGGCCGGCGGGCGCGCACAACTTGAAGTAGGGTTGGAGCGCGAGAAGGGAGAACATCGTGGCCTGGTTCAGGACGCTCAGGCAGCTTCGACTCGGTCACTGCATGGACGCCGCACACGGCGTTCGAGGACCCTACGGCGCCGAAGGACGCGCCTTTCTACCCTGCACCAGCATCTGCTGCACGGTGTGCTTGTACGACAGGGCGCCCTTGACATTCACATCGAGCTCCGACCGCGAGGCTGCGTGTGTGCGTGAAGGGGCGTCAGGTATCATGCGGCGGAGCAGGTGGGCGGGGTACTCACTTTCATAGAGTTTGCAATCATCTTGGATAGCGTGCACGCACTGAGCACTCACAAGGCATGACGAGGACGCTGGATAAAATAAAATTGAGATGTACCAGCTGCTTCCACCAGAATAGTAGCAAGGTTGGGCGAGTATCCGGTGCAGTAGAGCTGGCAGGAGACGGCTACGAGCGGGACAGGGCGCGAGGGGGCGACGTGGGGAAGCTGACATGCAGGCAGGTGAGACTGACAAGTGTCAAGAAGAGGATGAGCGAGGCCTGGATTCGACGGGAGGCGGCACCCTGGATGGCGACAAGGGCAGGAGAGAAATGCGCTGGCGACAGCCTCAGCCTGGCGTTGGCACACGAGTTCGCCTTCGCGTGGGAATCACGTGATCTCGCCGCCAAGAACCCGGCTGCCAGCACGCGGTGCACACCGTTCTCTCTGCTGCCCATGTCCCCTCGCACACGCTGTCCTTGCCTCCACCATCCTTTTTGATTCCCTCGTGCCTTTTCAATGGTCCACCCAAGGTCCACCTTACTATTCCGCATGCAGCGCTCCCCACTCGCACACCCCGCCTACCCCAGCCCGGGATCACCCATCCGTACGACGACCCGCAACGTCGCATTTGGAAACACCGCCTGGAGGAATCGCGCGCGCCTCCTGCGTGTTCGACTTGTTGTCCCGCCTTCTACACTCGTCAATGAGCTGAGCCGCAAGTCACACGGAGCGTGGTGAAGCGTGGTCCACATACATGAGCTCCGGGAGGACATCGATCGAGGCTCAACCTCCAGCCCCACTACGGTACGTAACCCCCACCGGATTGTCATTGTCTCCTGCTGAACCGCCGTCTCCACCCGGCCACTACTACGAAGAACTCAGGTCACGGCACCTCTCACGGCTCGAAGTCAGCAGCATCCAACACCACGGACACCGTCTCACCCTTGTTCGCCCGTCGTGCCCCTGCGTCGCCACGTCGCCTGGCCTTTGTCCGCCGCGGGAGCAACGCTGGGTCAAAGCATCGGGTGACGAGTGGGACCTAGCACCGCCGGCGACCCCAGACACGCTGCAACACAGCACAGCCTGTGAGCGCCCCTGTCCCACTAGCCTTGCGAGCCATGCGCCACGGTCGACGGGGCTGCAGACGGGGGCGCACGCCAGCACTGGTGAGGCGACTAGTCTTGGATCGCGCGGACTCGATGGACAGCGGGTGCAGCGGAGGACTCCCTGGTGGGCTCACTGCCGGAGCTTGTGGACTTGCCTGATGAAGGGCACGACGAAGAGTTCGGCGACCACCACTTCGCTATGTAGTCCCGACAGTATGCACACATGGTTGAGCAGGCACCACTGGCTGCGCACGCGCTGACGAGCACGGAATTGGAGGTCGATAACGACGAGATTTATTCGTAGACACCATGTACTAGCATACTGTTATACGCCGCAACTGTCTCCCCGGTCCAAGTGTGCGTGCCGATTCTGGCAGTCTGTCATAATAATTGCGCCCGTGAGGTAATGTGCTAGCTAGGTTATCTGTTGTTTGCCGGATTGTCTGGCCGTCTGCGCAACTGTCTCAACTGTGCGCCCTCGAACTGCTCGTCTGCCCAACTGCCGAACTGTCTCCGCTGTGTGCGAAATTGACAGACGCGACAGCTGTGCCAGACGCGTGCAAAATTACTGATGAAGGGAATCAGAGCTTGGAAGAGGGTTGGGGCGTAGAGGAGGGACACGGATGGTGACAGTACGCGTGGTAAGCGAAGGGTCCGTCCTAGGCCCGAAGATGAGGACTGTGGACAAAAGGGAGCTGGTGGCACCACCGGTAGCTGTGGACGAGAGCGTCATGGAGCGCGTCGTTGGGGCGGTAGTGGTTGGGGCGGGAGCGGAAGCAGTCGCGGCGTCCGTCGCGGTTGATGAGGCCGTTATGGTCGCAGCCGTTGTCCGAGGCCCGCCCGCCGCCTTCTTCTTTGCCGCAGCGCGCTTCTTGCGCTCTTTGTCCTTCCGGTTCTTGATCTTCTTACGGAGGGCTGCAGGCTGTTGCGGAGGGGGTGGGGGGATGTGCTTGATAAGCTCCATGCCGACGGCGGCTGGTACAAGGCGAGGGTTAGCAATGTGGTTAGCTACTAGTGTAAGGAACAGCGGCACTTACAGCAGTACACCTCAGACCTCTCATCCTCACTGCTGTCGTCGTCGTCCGACGTGGGTGGAACTTCTTCAACTATCAACGCGAAAGGTCAGTTCATGTGTCGCTCATCAAAGACTGTACACCTGCCTGAGGCCGGAAAGCCCTCCTTGGTAAGATCGTCCGCATCACAGTCGTCATTGTCGATATACGGGGCCTTCCGAACAGCAAGGCGCACAGAGCGACGGAGCGACGTCCCCTTCACGGAGACAAATCGTTCGGACGTGCTCGTCTGTCAACGAAATGAGATGTAGGCATGTGGGCAGACAAATCAGCCCCAGGCGAAGGCTGGGTCGCTGCCATGTACGCGGCATGCAAGGACAGGGAGGCGCCAGCCCAAGACGTCGCGCAGAGGTTGTTCGCTGCAAGGGCACCCGGCGAGTGCCCTTCCAGCGAACGACATGCACAGAAGGGCGTGCGGCGGACACCCTTACCGGTGCAACATCGGGAGCGGGGGTAGGGAACGCCTCTTGCGCAGGCCTAATGCATGAGAAATAGGAGTCTGAACTCACCAAGGTGTGTCGTGCTGGTATGTCGACGTTCTGGTCCATGGAGATGCAGTGTGTGGGATGTTTGGGCGGGGGAGGGCGTGGGGGGCACCGCACTGTGGGGCTGATGAGCGGGGGAGGGAAGAGGAATGGATTGGGCGCGCTGTCTGGGCAAGTAAATATACTGGCAGGGAAAAGGGGTCGGGTCTCCTACCTGTCTATTTCTGTCCAGGGCGAATATCCGCCGCCTCCACTCCTATTTGACCCTGTAAACGAATAGGTCTCATGAGCTGATCGGGTGTTGAACTATGAACTTACTTTCTCAGAACACAGGCAGTCGAACGTATTCGATGAAGTGCATGGCGGCGCCTGGGAGGAGACAAATGCAGTGGATGACATGGACAAGTCCATGTTGGTCGTCACCGTGCATTAATATGGCGCATCGTCGGTGGCAATCCGATGGCCTGCATCGCGTCAAAGGTGCTCCGGCACCGCCCTGGCTCTGTTTGGCTTGATGACATACACGGATACAGGGGAGTACTGAAAAACACCCACGGTGCTGAGCGTTGTGCTGAGTGAAGCAGCTGTGCCATATCGGTAAGCGCTGTAGGTCTTTCATAGAGCCAGGCGATGTACTCACCGTCTTCAAGCTATCGAGCCTGCTCGTCGCGCACGTCCTCCTCGTGGCCGACCGCCGGAAGCCCCATGGTCCTCCATCCGGATCCCGCACGACCGCCCTGGAGCCGGGAGAGAGCGTGCTACCGCGGTCTTTGTCGGCTGCCCTTCCGCCACCTGGGGCTCTCCTGGGGCCCAGTCTACTCCGGCTCGACTGGTAGGGGCTGCCCGAGTCCAAGGGTGCGCTCCTGCGCTCACGCGCGGGGCGCGCGCAGACGCTGTGGATGTTTGGGATGTGCGGGCTCCAGGCAGATGCGGCATGGGGAGCTCCAGGTTGCGTTCAAGCGGCTTGGTGGACGGCTAGTTTCTGGGTGAGGCCATCGCCGATGCGCTGTTCTGGTGATTGCAGCTGGCCGCGGGGATGGGCGTGGGCGACGTGGGGGACGACTCAGCGGGGTCTCTGCAGCACGGGGATGATAAGGATCGTGTGTTTGCAGCGCGGCTTGGACTCACGGTTTGGGCGCCAGCGTCTGGTGGTCTTCTCGCTGGATTTGAGTGGGCCTACACGCGCTGGGTCGTGGGCAACGTCGGCCTGCGCGTCGTGCGTCATTGTGCGTCGCCGGGTGTCGTGTCTCGTGTGTCATGCCTTGTGTGTCGTCGTCGTCATCGTCGTCGTCGTGTGCTCCATGCGCGTCGGTGTGGTGTGTGTCGGGGTCTGGGCGTGTGGTGCGTGGCCATCGAGCTTGCTGTCCGGCGCCATGCCCGTCGTGTGCGTGTCGGGCGTGGACCATTATGCATTTATGCGTCGCTGTCGTCGTGCGACCCCGTGCACGTCGTGGTTAACATGCGTCGGGGGTACGCGTTGGGGTGGGGCGTGTCCGCGAGTACGCGTCGGGGGCGGTGTGTGTCGGGGTCTGGTGCGTGGTGCGTGGCCACTGTGCTCACTGTCCGGCGCCATGCCCGTCGTGTGGGTGTCGGGCATTGACCGGGTGGTGCGTGGCCGCCGTGGTCGCTGGCCGGCACCATGCTCGTCGTCCTCCGTGTCGAGCTGTACGCGTCGGGCGTCATTATGCGTCTGCGCCGAGTCGGGGTCCGGGTGCATAGTGGGCGGCCGCCGTGCTCGTGGTCCTGCGTTGTGTTCGTGTCCGTGCGTGTTGTGTGTGTACATGGGTGGCGCGTCCTGCTGTGGTGCCGTTCATGCCATCGTGCGCATTCCCTTGCGCGTGGCCGTGTGCACTGTTGTGCGCGTCGGGGTCTTACGCGTCGTTACACGTCGGGGTCTTTAGTGGTCGCTGTGCTCGCTGTCTGGCGTGGTGGTCGATCGGGTGTGTGATGATGGCCTCATGGGGTGTTGTGCAGGACTACAATCTGGTCAGCACTAATTTTGCGTGTGGCCTAGTAGTACTTACCGAAAACTGCGCCTAATCATCCACTTCTAGAGCCCGAGCAAGAGAGCCACTACGATCAACAATTGCCCAGTCTGCCTTGAAACCACCAGGGGGGATAGGCACTCGTCCGACCACACACTGAATGCACTTGAGGTCGAGGACGATTTCGGAGCCTTGCTCTGAATAGTAGTGGATGTCGAGCCTGTTGTTGGTGGAGGAGATGATGCAGGGCTTGATGACGGCGAGGATGACCTTGGTGGGACTGTCTAATCGCAAGTCGGCGATAGAGGAAGGGGTGTCGAAGGAGATGGAAAATATGTGAATGAGGCGACCATAAAAGGTTTCAAGCTGGAATTCTGGCGCTTTTTTCTTTTTTCGAGAGTTCTTATCGATAAAGGTCTGGTACTGTTGCGTCTATGAGGAGATGCTCGGATGCAATTGGAGGCCACTCACACGAACAAATGTCCTATCTCGAGTGTCGCTTGCAATTCCCTTGATGCTGGCTGCCTGGATGACGTCCCCACCGTTAAGGATACGAAGCTTGGCCCAGGAGAGGAGATCCTTGGGCAGGTGCTTCTGAACAAGCTGAGATCCCCTCTTCCCAGGAATATCAAACCGAGTGACGAGTGCCCCCACAATCTTCTTGTGAAGACCAGGTTTGGGGGTGAAGAGCTTGCACTTAGGCATCAAAATGCACGTATTATCTGGGAGGCTCTCGTCACAAAAAGAGATGACTAAGAGATGCTGAAAGCAGCTCACATTCTGGAAATCTCGCTTCCCCAAAGCGGAGCTCCTCCTCGTTCCGACTCTTTCTGTGCAACATCAGTAATTTCCCAAAGTCCTGTGGGGTCCTGTGGGGTCTGACCAGGGTTCCCAGGAACCCAGGGATTTCGCTCCGGGCGTCCGGGCATCCAGGCCGTCTCCGGGCGTTCAGGGCGCCAGGCCGGCCAGTAAAGTCAGGGATTTCAGGAATCTGGCAGGTGTGGGGCATACAATTACATTTATTGTCACGGATATACTATCATACATGTAGGCATACAGACTGGTACAACTTGGTGCGCGTCCAGGTCCGAGCCTCACTTCGTCGGTGCGACTGTGGGCAGTGGCACAAGTATCAGCAGGCATGACCATGAAGTAGTCCTCGTCCTCCGACGAGACTGAGCCATCGCCCGCGCTCCTGGACCCGAACCCGCTCCCCCGGTGGCTACGCGCTAGTACGAGTGCGTGGAGAACAGCAAGGGCGGCGTACGCAGGGAGTGATGCGGGGAGACCGTGCGCGGGAGCGCCCCGGCGTTCGTCCGGGTCGAGAGCGCAGACAGCACCCAGCGCAGCTTCGGCGGGAGCCGCTTCACCTCGTGCACGAGGAAGGTCTTGAGCCGTGCTCCACCGAGGGGAAAATTCCGTGCGTGCGCAGGTGCCGCTTTGCGTTCGACCGGACCGCAAACGACTTTGTGCACGTCAGGACCGGGCACTTGAACGCTGCCGGGGACAGAGGAGGGTGAGCACGGACACCGACGAGAGCACAGCACGAGCACGCACGTTTCGCGCCCGCGTGCGAGTTCATGTGCATCGCGAGCCCGCTCGGCCGCGGGAACATCTTGAAGCAGACCGTGCACTGGTGCATCTTGCGCTTCTTCGCCGGCCCCCGCTGCTCGCCGACCCCCTCGCCTGGCGGCGTCACCGGGCTGCCCTCAGGCTGCTCCCGCTCCGACTCAGGGCTCCCCTGCACCTGACTCTGGTGCTGCTCGAGGTGGTGCTGGGGCGCCTGCGCGAGCGGCGCGTGGTACCAGTCCACGTCATGACGTCCCGCCGCTGCACCTCCGACGCCGCCGATGGCAGCGACGACCCCTCCGACTCCCGGTCGTCCTCGAATACGTCCTCGTCGAACCCGAGCCCAGGCACGCTCGACGGGCTGATCGGCTCCATCGTGCCCACACCCGCGCCGTCGAACGACTCGCGCCGGTGCGCGGACATCAGTGTGTGCGTGCCGTCGAGGCCGCCGGCGCCGAACGGTGACCCGGGGGACCCGCCCAGCGCGAACCCGGGTGTGTACGCGGGCGGGGAGGACGAGAGCGGGGTGGGGGCGTAGCGTGCGCAGGTGCCGCTTTGCGTTCGACCGGTCCGTGAACGAAATCGTGCACGTCGGGATCGGGCACTTGGACGCCGCAATTGACAAGCATCCACCCCGGCATGGAGATGTGCTTCTGGATCCAGCGCAGTGTGAGGTGTTCTGCGCACAAGAGTGTGAGCGACAAGAGCGTCACGGGTTCTTGAACATGCCTTCAAGAAGGTTGTACTGGTGGTCGAGCCGGCAGCAGTTGAAAGAGTTGAAGATCTGCGTGAACAAACACATGTTAAATACAAGTGGACGTCAGAAACATAAGCGAAATCGTGCGCCCCGGTGACGGCGAGTGCCGCGCAGAGCGCATAAATCTCGTGCACGAAGGGGTGGCACGGGTTATACCAGCGCATATATGCCCCAAAATTTGCGTACACATCTTCGGAACTGCTCAACGAGATTGCACGCAGCTCGGTTCGGCGTGGTGGCAACCGTGGTGGGCCGCGCGCGTGAGGGGAAGGTGGGCCCGAAGGTGAGAGCTACATACCTCTGTTGTTACAGTTGAAGACCCCTCCTCTAGGCCTTCTTATTGCATGAACTTTTATGGTAGAGTGCCCGCCGCTGGCCGGCTACAGCCTACATCGTTGTTGTGCACGGAGTGACTTGTCCTCAGGCGGCGTGTCGAGTGGTGCAGATGGGAGGAGGTAAGAGGCGAGTCATGTTTGACGCCCACGTCCTTCATGTCTCGATCTCTCTTCTTGACCCAATCTCGTTCTTCATTCCTCCACCCTCGCGTCTCAACCATACCCTGAACGTAGTTCCGTACTACTTTAGCCTGTGAAACGGCGTTCCTCTCTGCAAACTAAGCCGCTTCCTTTTGTGAGTACTGTGTGATCATACTTACCATTCTGGTGGTAGTAGGAGCGGAGTGCAAGGACGGCTCGGGTGTGCGTTGAAAGACGGTTTTGGTTCTTCGCAGCGTAGATATCGGACCAACAGTGAGTGTTCACTTCATCCTCATGCATGGCATCCACCTTCCCGCACTCCACACCCGACTAGGCTGTACCCAATACTACCTATGTGCGCCCGCGCCTTCGCGGTGCGCACGATCTATTCTTTCCGATTGGATGATGGGCGCGCCTTTTGTCCTCTCATTTCTGACTGCGCTCCTCTCGCTTTTCCGCAGCTCCACTTGAGTGAGAGGCAGCCAGGACAACACGGGACTGATGGGATACGGTCGGACAGTCAAGGTAAGTATCTCGTGAGTGCGCTCCGACATCACTGCGGATCTGAGTGTCATAGGCGTCAACTGGTGCAAGATCTGGTCGGATACGAGCCACAACATAAGCCCGATAACATGGATCTTGACTGTGATGCTCACGATTGAAGGTGGGGCTTCGCGCATGCAGGTGTATGCGGCCCGTTCGCTGATCCACACTTGCGGCCCCTCCAGCGTTCTTGACAACCATGGGCAGCCGCGGTCAGAGCTAGCCCATTGGCAAGGTCATCCTCGTCGGCATGGATATGCCCTTCCGCTCTCTGCCGTTGCGCTCCGCGAGGTCGACTGATGTACAGATGCAGGTGAAGGAGTACAAGTGCAAATACGAGCAGCCAGAGATGGAGCTCCAGAGCGCGAAAGGTGCGTGTATTCTTGTCAGTTTGAATGATCAACGTTCCTGACTGTTGACACGATTATCCGACCCAGCGATGTGCCGGGCAGGGTGATGGAGATCGGGAAGACGATTCACATTCACAAGGCGACGCGCACAGAACAAAACGCGTTCGCGCTGTCCGTCGCAGTGGTTTCAGTGTCGACCCGTCGGGGACGGGTGCACCCCGAGTCTGCACATGCTTGGTGGATACAGTATGGCTGCCGGATGCCCTCACTGTAGCACGCGATCCTCGCCATCGCGCTGCAGTGCTGCCAGATTGGGCCTACGTCATCGTGCACGGCGAGGTCAAATGTGAGCTCGCGCGACGGCACCGAGACGGAGGTGATGTAATTCACCGGCCTGATCTCGCCCGTTCCGTCCATGGCGACGGCTTTCAAGTGTCCCGTGCGCCGTTGGGGTGACGGTGACAGTGCGGTTGCTATTGCTCGTGTTGATGTCCTCGCGCGAGGCCATGGGCGTATATACGCACCACACCTCTCGCCCACGTTGTGTAAATTGACACCATCGCGCCCGGCATAGTAGTCCTGGTGGGTTCATCCCGCCGCACTCAACGCACTCATCCCACCTCGCTCCACATGTCTGCATTCAATAGGTACCGTACTATCTGAACATGTATGTAGATTACCACCTACACAAACTACTGTACTGGCTGATTAACAGCGTGAGGCCTGAATCCGGCGCTGGGCATCCTGACGCCTGAAACCCTGTGTGCGCCGGGCGCCCTGAGTCCCTGTGCTGCCCTGTGCGCCCTGTACGGTCCCGATTCCCCTGGATCCCTGAAATCCCTGAAATCCGGGGATTCAGGGATCCAGGGATTTTGGAAGTTACTGATGAAGAGAAGCTGTGAATCTGGGAGGTTGTAGATGTTCTTGATATGTGCGAGTCTCGCAGAGTCCAAAATAAACCGATCAATACTTGCCCAGGGAAACCTTCGACTCTTGATTGAACGTTGAAGATGGCCACAAAAACGCTCCATAGGAAAGGCCCAGCTGGCCCAGACAGGACCTGAGGCCTCAATACTGTCCGCAATATGCAGCAGGGCGTGGATCGTCACAGGGCAGGTGGCTAGTCGAGAAGGATCTCCCTGATAGTAGTATCTATGCTTTCATATGAGCTTTATCGCATCAAGAGTAGTGGATATACGCACTGCTCATACTTTCTCACCCATTGAGCGACACCCTCTCGTATATCCTGGATGTCAGACCCTGAGTACTCGAACTGAAGGCATTTCTGAAGAAGCTCGATGAGATCCACGAAGTGATCATAGTACTTCTGTGAAGAAAAGCGACGGAGAAGGAGAGGGGGTGCAATGTAAAGAGTCCACATAGTCCAGGCCTCCGCAGTGCAGGCCGATCGATCTGTAGAGATGTCGCCCATACGAGGCCCGAAGTCGGAGGGGAGAGTCTTGCCTCCTGCTGCCGTTCCTTTGCCGATAGCTGACCAGACCAAATTTGAAAGATCATAGTTCTCTGAGCCCGAGTTGAGACCCTTGAAAGATGATGTCCAGAGAGCAACAAGGTTCGGAATGAGATTCTCCCATATCAGATGCATGAAATTGTAAGGGAAAGAGGATGGAAAGGACAGAGATGGGAGGTAGCTGAGAAGAGGGCGCCCATTGAGACCGTATTCCTTGCTCAGACGGGATGACTCTGCTTGTGTAGTTGCGCTCATGATGCTGTCGGCCTGAGACATCATCTCGTTGTGTGTGCGTAAAGGTAGATTGAAGGGGTCCATCATTCTAGAGGCGATTGGAACCTCCCGCAAAGCGGGATGCCTTCGGCGGTCCAATGGCACGTAGTGGGTAGTAGCGGATGAGTTAGGAACTCGAAGTCCCTTGATCTTGCACATCCGACAAGGGACGATGGCGTTATGCCCCTTCATACTCATTACCATTGACACTGCAGGGATGTCTCCAGACACAAGGATGAGAAATGCACGAAGGACGAACGCGGCACCTGTGCCGAAGTCAGCTATGATGAGATAAGCGATAACTGTTCAAACTGACCTGCTCGGACATCAAAGCCTGGAACACCAACAGCGAGTTGTAGAAGCTCCTGTGTAGTGGGCCACAGGAAGGAGTCGAAATCCTTGGGCTTCTTTGGACCAGGAATCACGCCGATCGGGATGATGTTCTCCTTGTGGAACCGAATCTCTGGAGGTAGGTTGTAGTTGTAAAGGATGAGTGGCCAGGCGCTCTTCTTTCTTCGGCGAAAGGGCGCAAAGCCGTCCGTAGAGAGACCTAGAGCAATGTCCGTTCGAGAATCAAAAAAGTTTGCACCAACGCTTTCACCATCAATGATGATGGGCTTCCCTTTGAGATTCTTGTACTGATCTGAGTCCTGGATGTCCCGCACTACCCCAGGTGTACTCTCATAGTCTTCACGGTAGTCCATTCTCTCCGAAATCTCCTTATTCTGAAAGAGAGCGAGTAGACGTGGAGTGATGGGAATATGTGTATACTGCTGACGGGGATTGCCATACTTGTCATGACGATCCTCTTTGCAGTAAGGGCAGCTTGTCAGGTCGGAATTGGTTCCTGTGTATGCAAGACAGGAATCAATGCAGCAGTCGTACTTCTCTGGCTTCAGACCGGACAGAGCGCCCATGCGTGAGCGGAGGGCCTTGAGTGAGGGAACGTCCTCCGGAATATTGAAAGCCTCAGGGATGCCTTGGAGAGCCTCTTCAGATAGCTGGTGCTTGATTTGATAAGCAAAGATGCGGAGGAGGAACTGATCGTGCTCTGAGAGTCGATTTTCTGTCACAAATTCGACATGAGTGCGACGTGAGAGCCAAGGTTTGCATGTACTACTCACGAAGCTCTGAAACCTGTCTCATAAACTCCCCGTAGAACCGGTCCGCTGCAGACAAGAAAGGCTGGCCGTAGTCCTCATCGTCTGACTCAGTCTCCGTCTCCCAGGTCTCTTCATCGGAGTCTGCCTCATCTTCACTCTCAGAAGCGTCTTCAACGGTAGTGCGATATCGTCGGGCTCTATCAAGTGCGTCCTCTGCTCCAATCTTCCTCCTCAACCTGTCCACAGCCTCCTCCTGTTCCATGAGCTCCGGTGGGGGTGGGGCGATATCAAGTGGTGCATTAAGATCCCGATTGGAGTCGGAGTTGGAGTTTTTTGAAGAAGAGGATGAGGATGAAGAGGATGAGGATGAAGAGGAGGATGAGGACGAGGAGGATGAGGATGAGGATGAAGAGGAGGATGAGGACGACGACGACGACGACAAGGAGGACGACGACAAGGAAATCGAATCTGACTCCATATGTACATCCTCTGCCTCACTACCAGAGGGAGAAGAGAGCGCTCCATGAAGCAGATTGAATCGACGAAGAGCAGTCGCAATTTTGAACTGAGGACGGGCCCTATTCTTTCGGTGTCTCGAGAGTGTGTTCCGAGATACCCTCTCCTTGCAGCAAGGGCACAGGTATTTGAGCCCCCGAGACAGCTTCTTCTGCTTCTTCCGAGTGGTGGTCTTGGACCTGTGTTTTTGTGTGGAGGTTTTGGGCATCATAAACAGCAGATGGTTAAAAGACGGCAGTACAGGCATGGACTTAGACGTCTGGACAAGTTCAGTGATCACGTGACAGGGGACACCGACGGCCTAAGATCTTCGAGACAAAGAACTGTCCTCCAAATCTCCCCCAGGTACCCATCTGCTTCATCCCTACACCCCTACACCTCCAGCATGAGTAAGAGCAAAGCCAAGCCCAACAAAGAGAACCAAACTCAGCATGAGGAAGACACAGATGACGATAACCCCCTCCCTCCGCCCAAAAAGGGAAGCAAAAAGAACAAGTCTGGTAAAAAAGTCGCTGGCAAGGCCACAAAAGCCCCCCTCAAGCGCCACAAGGACGATGATGGCATTCCTGTTGATATTGAGGAGGAAGAGGATGAAGATGAGGTAGATATGGATGAGACTGACCGGGTCAAACGCGACAAGACACTAAAGTCTGTCAAAGGTGCGTAACTGCCTCAACCCGCACACTGAAAGACCAACTGAACCACTACCGAACACTTGCCCCACACCCGACCTACCCACACACTCCTGCACCACTGCACCACCCACGACTCCACACGCCGCACACCCGACCACGCCCCCGACACCCGCATGATTGCACCACACACCTGCACAACCTCACACCCGCACCTCACACCCACACCACACACCCGCACCGCACCGCACCGCACACCCGCACCGCACAACCACTGCACAACCAACCTGCACGACTGACCGATGCGTACGACCAATGCACGACCAACCGAACGACCAACGCGGACGCGACGAACGCGGACACAACATGCACGAACTCGGACGCGACATGCACGAAACGCGGACGCGACATGCACGAAACGCGGACGCGACATGCAATGCGCACGACCAACCGCACCACGACCAACCGCACCACGACCAACCGCACGCACAACCAACCGCACGACCCACGACCAACCGCACGACCCACGACCAACCACACGACCCACGACCCAACGCGCACTCAACTCGCACGACATGACTGACACATGCGCACGACTGACGGACGCAACCGACCCACAACACGCGCAACGACACACCCTCACACCTACCCTCACACCCGCACTCCCTGCAATCGGCGGCACGCTCAATCCACACCTGCCAACTGCACGACTCACCACATGAACACTGGACTGGAAACCCACTGCAGCAAAGCTCCTCCCGCAAAATGGGAGCCCCAAGAGGCATGAGAAGTCGAAGCACAAGCACCGTAAGCATAAGAAGTCAAAGAAGCTGATCACTCAACCGAAGGGCACATGCGGAAAGGACTACCACCTTGTTCAGGCAATGGGGCTGGCCCCAGGTGCTGATGAGAACTGGTCAAAGACGGAGATCCAGGAAAAGAAGTTATTATACAACTCACTGAGGGTACGTCATGTCCATTTCAGCCGCTTTCCTCCTAACTCAGCCTGTTATCAGTCCGGCGTACAAGAACTCAGCCAAAAGGCACATATGGACTGGACGCTTGGAATCAAGAAGCAGCCGGTCGATGTCGTGGGATCTTTGTGCTCAATGGTAAGCACACTAGCTTTGAGAGCATACGTTAGCGAGCGCATACATACCCTTGAAAACATTTCCTTTAGGCTCAAGCGGAGATGCCTTACCTGGGGCTGTTCAAGAACCATTGGGCGACTGTCCAGATACTGATATCACAGTGGATGAACAAAAGGGACTACAACATTCGTAAGACCAAGTTGTTGCAGCCGGTGAAGGATGCCAAAGGCAAGCGGATCGGGCTCAAGGACTTACGTAAGAAAGCTGTTGGTAAAGTCTCGCCTGCCACAGAAGAGCAACGTCGGGCAGAAGCCCTCTTCAACCAGGCCATCAAGTCTGCTAGTGATCATGGTGAGCGATACATCACACCCTGGTGCAAAACACTGACCTTCTGCATAGGATGGAAGAAACCAGCTGATCCCAGCAGCAATGAGGACGATGACGATGACGACAACGACAACGATGAGGAAGAGGAGAGGGAGGAGAGGGAGGTTGTGTTCCTAGAGGAGGACAGCAGTGATGGAGAGGAGCCATCTTCTGATGAAGAAGGGAGAAGCCGCAAAAGCAAGCGTAAGTCCCCAGTGAAGAACAAGAGAAAGGAGACCAACAAGGGCCGTACGGATGAGGTGGAGGACCCAAGGCACCAGAACGCCAATGTGAGTCCCATTCCAGGCTCCAATGCTGCATTAGAACCCGAACCCCATTCGTCTGCACGGAGAGTGCAGGACAAGCCTTGCTCTCCGTGCAGAGGATGCGGACCCGAGCACTGCACAGGGGATGCACCATACGTATGTGCGCAGCAACCAGCCACGAGTATGTGCGTCCACAAAAGCACCCACGAGCTTGGCCCGCTTGATGCGCGCGGAGCTCGGTCTGCTTGATGCGCGTGTGTCGACCCGCGCGTGAGTAGCGGGTCGACACACGCGACGTACGGCTCGGCGCACACACGCGACGTACGGCTCGGCGCACACACGCGACGTACGGCTCGGCGCACACACGCGACGTACGGCTCGAGCAAATGCACGCACATCGCGAGCATTCACTCGAGCGCACCCGGTGCCCCTTGCGGAAGGATGAACATCCCACTCACCTAAATCTATGTAGATGGTGAACCGCACCCTAGAGGAACGGAGCGACAGTAACACCCCCAAGGATGCACCGTCCCAGGAGCCCCAGTCCTCAGCCCGGGAGGAGTCAAACATCGACCCCCAGCTGAACGCGAGGTGCGCACCCTTCCTTCTTTTCCTCACGCCCACGATACTGATGGCAATCACGGCAATGACACACCAGCCGCAATTCCCAGGACACGGAGATTGTCCGTATCGACACACCCGTGAGCAAGGGGCCTCCCAGACCTCGTCCTCTCAAGCGGAAGGCTCCCGAGATCGTACCATCGGAGCCCACCTCCCCCAAGCGTAGCCGGAACGTCAAGGAGGAGCTCATGCAGCTTGCTGATGGTTTGGATGACGATCTTCTGCACCAGTTGCTTCTAGCCGCCAAGGGCAAGAAGAACAGCACACCGGATGCCTGACCCTGCTAGTGAGTGTTCCCAGCATCTCATGGACGCCTAACTCACTCATATCTCAGCAGGACGGTGCCGTTATATGAAAACTCCTGTGCTATGACGTCACACTCTGTCTAGCTACAAGGCATTCAACTGCCGCTCCCTTGCACCCTCTGATACCGTATTCAACCACTGTAGGCTCCTCTCTACATGCTCCATCTCCTGTATCCTATCATATAGTAATCCACCCGCCGCTCCATGCACGCTGCCCATAACGACCGCATATGTGAACCGGATAACCGTCTGCCTCAATGTAGCGCCCGGAGACCGCGCCTGATCACGTAAGCCTGGTTCTAGATGCGAGCACAGACCCTAGGGAAAAACGCGGTCGGGCCCACCCAGGGATTTCCGCGGTAAGGAAACCGCGATCAGATCGCGGAAAGTCACCACTACAGGCCTACCGCGGAAATTTCCGATCCACCGCGGAAATGCACCACTTGCCCACGTAATTTCCTCGCTCAGAAAGCGGGGGCCAGCCACGTGAAAGACGTGCCGGTCGCGTCAATCCCGTGTTCAGACCGCGGAAATGCGCCCCCGGAATTGACGCGGGACCTGGGCAGTGGGCGCACAGTGCTCGGCTAGCACAGCGCCAGGGAACCCCGACCCCCTTCCGTCCTCCTACCCGGTGAGCTCGGGCACGCATATACTCGGTGTTACCCACGCTGCGGAGGACGAAGCCGGCCAAGCAGAACCTAGTCTGGGCGCCTCACAAAAAACCAGGGCTGAGAAAGGGAAGGCGAAGGCAGTCAAGTTCACCCCCAAGCCAGACTCAGACGCCCCGGGATCAGACGACGACGCACCCGAGTTGATTGACCCGATCGAATTCCCGCCCTTGGGTGGCAGCCCAGCACCCGAGGCGTCTACCCCCGCCAAGGTCAGCAAGCCCGCAGACGCGGGGACAGGGGGCACCCAAGGCGATCAGGACGACCAATGCGACCTCGACTTCCCCATGGAGTTCGAGGCTCTGATGAAAGAGGGCTACGAGCCGGATGTGGCACACCGCACGCCAGATGCTGCGCGCAGCCGCCGCGGAGGCTGCCGAACGCGAGGTGGCCAGGCAGCGGAGGAGGGAGGAAAGACACGCCGCGCGCAAGGCCGATGAAGCCGCACGCAAGCGCGAGAAGGCCGAGCGTGAGCGCAAGGAAGCGGAGGAAGTCCGAGAGCGCAACCTCAAGGCCACCCTATCCAGCGCGATCAAGCGGAGGCGAAGCGTCCTCGACTCGGGCAAGGCACAGCTCAAGCACGCGAAGAAGACTTTGGGCAAGGTCGGCAAGGCAGCGGCCAGGCGCTTATCGCGATCGCCGTCGCGATCATTCGCGAGCGGCTCTGAGGACACCGCGGGGGACGAAGAGCTGGAGGAGGATGAAGATGAGGCTATGGTGTGCGAGGCCAACAACTCCCCCGACATCTTCACGCTCAACAGGGCCCCCATCGACACCCGCCTGATCACCATGCTTCGCACCGGACACTACATTCCCCTCTCCGCCCTCACCAACGAGTCCTTGCGCGCGATCCGATCAGAGGCATCTAAGCGAAAGCTGGTCAAAGCTGAGCCGCTACACGGGGAGAAGAAGCATCACATACTCGAGGTCAGCGTCTTCCTGGACGAGCGCCTGATGTCGGCTGCGGACTGGGAAGAAGCGTGGAAGAACATGCTGGAGGGTCTGATGCCGGGAGTATGCACACCTGACATCATCGCGCGCTGGCGGGCGCACATAGACTACATCAAAAACGAGATAGACTACAAAACGAGCTTCCCCGCTCTGCGTCAATTCGATCTAGACCTACGACACTCCTGGTTCACGGAGGCTCCGGGGAAGAAGTCCCGCTTCGAAGTGGGCGGCCCGACGTACATCAAGACGATGATACTCGTGTGGCACCAGATGGCCACAGCCGCCCAGGCACAAGCGACCACCTCTAGCGCCTCCAATTGGAAGGCCAACCGCAACGCGCGCGGTGGGAACTCCGGCGCAACCGGAGGATCTTCGGGCGGCCGCAACGGGCGCGACAACAGGTGCGACAACGGGCACGACAATGGGCACGACAATGGGCAGTCCTTTCAGTCAGGCAGACGCTTCAACGGCCGCAGGCTGTTCTGCCTCATCTGCAACAAGGACGGCCACAAGGCGGACCGATGCCGCACCAAGCGGAACCCCTCCGGCGGCCTGCCTTACGTATTCTGGGACGACAACCGCCTTCTCGCGTGCGACAACCGCCACGAGATCTGCTCTGCGTGGAACTTGCATCAGTAATTCGGCAAATGTCTGGTTGCCTGAAGTGTCTGAAGAAAAAATCCAGACATTTCAGACACAAACCAGGCAGTCAGGTAACTAGCCTGCAGACAACCACGGCTCATCACTCCGTAAACTTTGGGCCCCTTGATGGGCCACCTCCCAGTGGGCATCAGCATTTGCATGCGCTGCCACGTGCCACTCGCTCAACGATGAGTGCCAGCGCGACAAGCCGTATGTACATGAGAACGAGCGACAGGTACCGCACTCGCGTCCACAAAACATTGCCATCGTGAGAACTTGGCATGCGCAAGACAAGCTGTCGCGTGCACGCGCATCGCGCGCAGTCCGAGCCGATACACGCCGTAGGGACACGCCGCACGCGCACCTCTTCGAGCACTGTCCACGCAGAGAGAGCGTGCCCGTGCCGCCCAAGCATCCGTACAATACGAAAACTAGACCAAATAAAGAAAGAAGACGCATAAACAGGTTGTGGGAGGGCGGATAGCTCAAAGATGCCTGAGTCGTACTGGCAGCGGCACGGAAGAGATATGCTCCCAGTGGATGAGCGCGAGGGGCCGGCCTACGCACCTGGTGGCAGCACGGAATAGATGACGTGACGCGGAGTGACCCAACGTTCTCGTCATGCTGTCCGGGAGAGGGGCTCTGTCGCGGCGTGTAGGCTTGCCGGGACACCCGCTGATACGCACGCGCCGCCGCTGTACGGTGCACCGCGACTACACTAGCGCCCGCGCGCGGCCGTCCACCTCGACCTCGCTTGTTTTCACGCACCTCGACCTCTCCACCGCGCGCACCCATCGCGATCAGCCCGCGAGCACCCCATATCGACGCTCCAGCATTCCAGGCCAGACGCGACACCCACGGACACACCGCGGCGCAGTCCACGCACGACCGAGGCCGGCACGGTACACACTCGATCCACGTACTCTACATATTCTCTCCTTTTCTACGTTTCATCCATTCCCTATTCTTTCCCTGCGCACCTGTACATTTACTTTCGCTCCTGTCTCCTACGTTTCCGGCTCAGACATTCATTCTCGGTATCGACCTCGGACATTTTTCGCGTCATGGCTTCGACTGTACATTGCTATCTACATACTCGCCCTGTGCGTTGCATGTACTTAGGCTCACGTTTTGCTTATGGATGCCCAGTTCACTCTCCCGCTCTTTCTGTGCGTGCTGTGTGCTCACCTCGTCTCGCCTTCGCCTTCGACCTCGACTTCGACTTCGCCCACGCCCACGCCCACGCTTTCGCCCACGACTTCGATTCCCTTCGCCTTCGCCAGCGCCGCGCGTGCGCGTGATCTCGTCTCTTCACCCCGCGTCTATTCCCTCCTCGTCCTCCTCGCGCTCGCGCGATCCCCCGATCTATTCTCTCTTCGCGCTCGCTCCTCACGCGGCGCGTCGTAGCTGTTCTCTTCTTTCACTCTCCGACTTCCCGCGTCTCACGCTTACTCGGGCTCGCTCACTCGCCCTCATCACTTTTGACTCTTCGCGGAGTTGACTGCACATCACCGCTGGGTCCCAGGCTTTCATGCGAGCAGACGCGTCGGAGCCCGGCGGCACGTTGACGACCTGGCACGGTGGGTGCGTTCTGGCGAGGCGTCGGAGCCTGGTGGCCGTGTCAACCATCATGGTGTGGGGATGAGCCGGTACATACTACACGGTGAGTACGTACCTTGCACTTGTCCAGCCAGGTTCCGGTTGGTGCTGCCATGCCCCCCGTGCTGTCAATTCAACTTGTGAGACGTGTTCAAACTGTGTGAATCCAACCAGCAAGTCCGTTGAAGTGCGCACGCATATATCAAGAATGAATTGCATTGCTCACCTCATGGCGTTGATAAGTTGAGGGCGTAGTGATCACCCACCTCGTCCCACACGTCGCACCATACAACAGGTCGATCGTGCCCTGCGGTCCACTCCGCAACGCGTCCGCGTGCTTCGCCCTCACCTTCATATTCGCCCAAGGGTCCGCTGTAAGGCTCTCCAGCGTGGATTTGGAGAACTTGCACCGTGAGCCTTGAAGCCCCGATGCGCGCAAGGCATGTTTGGACGTGCGCGCGCCGGCTGAAGCGTTCGGAGCATGGTCGACAAGTGTTGCGAAGTGTCCGCTGGTCTGGGCGTAGGTGGAGTTGACGTTGAGCAAGCAGTGGGTGTAGGTCAGGATGACTTGCAGCTGCAACGTGGAATGAGCAAGGGACTGTCTGTGCTAGAGCCTAGCGCCGCGCACCAAGTCAAAGATGCGCTCGAGAGTCGAGACTGCAGGCGCATGATCGGGTTCTCGTACTATATGCGGGCGGTCATCCGAGTGTGTCGACTAAGTCGTGAGCAGGGAACTGGGTTAGATGTTGTAGAAGGTGGAGTTTATGGGTGACGGGAGTCGGGACATCTGCACAGGGCTCGAGTGAGCACACAGGGGTGGACATTAGAGGTGACGCGAGCTCGGAGCGGAGAGAGGAGACCCACGGTGCACCGCACTGCCCAGGATACTTGAGACAGGAAAGCGGAGTGGGCCGCAATGCATTGTGTGCTGTGTGAGAGAGGGTGTTGAAGGCGATGACAGAGGCGAAGCTGCAGGGTGAGGAATAAGAGCGAGGCAAGAGAGAACAGACGCACATACGCTCAAGCGTTGAACATTGAGTCGCAGAGGTAGCCGGCGCCAAACAACGCCGCATCGATCTCTTTCCCTTCCACCATCTGCCTCCCTCCTCCCTCCTCCTCCTCCTCCTCCTCCTCCTCCTCCACGCTCTCCTTCCCGGAACGACTTCACTAGGGAGCAGAAACCGCCATAGAATGTCCCTCAATCACCTGAGAATGACCCTCCAACAATGCCAAGTAAGCCTGCAATCTATACATCCCTGCGGCCGACTGACCTCGACTTAGCTCCATCCTGCGGCCTGCCATCAGAGCTCACGCGGCCGGTATGTACTCGCTTTTCTCACGCGCACACACCCTGCACCATCCCCCACACCCAACCCCTCATGTTCGCCGTCACACCGTCCCAAACCTCTTCCAACATTCATGAAACCGTCCCTTTACCTTCCCGCCCATTTTGGCGCATATATGCGCCAAAACGGGCGGGTTTTCCCTTTGTGCCATCATCACACACAGCAGGTCGCCTGTCAGGCGAACGTCGTTGCTGTGAACGCCATGTTGAATGCCGCGTTGGGCTCACACGACTGTATCAAAGGTGAGTATGTTCAAAATATGTGCATATAATTTACTTACATGTAACACGAACTCCCCCGGGACCACGTCCGACTTCCCGCACTGGTGTTCATGCATCGGGAGTTCCCGCGGCGTCGCCTGCGCGCACAGGTCCCTGCGGCGGTTCAGCGTCCCCGACGGCGTCGACATCCCGTCCGTTACGACCGTCCAGATACCGCCCCTGCTTCGTGACCCCGCGCCGGCCGGCCGTGGGCGATAGCGACGCCACGAACGACGTATGGTCCAGCTCTGGCTCCAAGTCCGGCTCCGCGCGGGCTCGCGGTGCACCATGCGCAGCGCGGATGGGCGGCGACCCCGTCATTTCCCCCGCCGCCCTCCTCGGAGTTATCCGAACGTGGATGCAAAAAGACCCCCATCGCCCAGTCCCACGCGTCCTCGTCCTCACTGGTGCGCCCAAGAGCCCGTGCGGCGCGTCCGCACAGCTCGCGCCTGGTCTCGTCCCCCACGTTCCCCGCCCACCCAGCTCGCGTCTGGTTTCGCCCGCGTCAAGCGTCCGCATCTTCCTTTCAAACTCTCCTGTCTTGCCGCTCTTGTCCCACGACGCCGTCCCTCGCAGGTGCACGTTGTTTCGACCCCGAGCGTGTACCCCTCTCCCTCCCACGCGGCCCAGATAGATACTTTTGCACACCCGCGCACGGGTCCGACACGCCCCCGGGCGTCCCTCAGCCGCTCAGACTGACTTGTACGTCCTTAGACACCGTGCTCCCTCCAACCGGAACATCTGAACGGCCTGCGCGCGCGTAGTCCCAATTCGGGAGCTGGACCCGTTCGCGTACGCCGCTGCAACGCCGTAATGCGGGCACATGCTGCAGGAGGGAGAAGGACGACGAGACGAAGGCGTGGGCGAGTACCGTGTGCTGGTAGCGTACGGTGAGCGCGTCGACGATGACGACGGGCGCGCGCGCGTTGGCTGGCCCAAACGATTGTCCTATCGTACTAGAAATCGCATTGATTTGTTTTCTACATGGATCTGTTTGCTGCATGTCAGAATCAAGCCGCAACAACGACCTGGGAGTACGGTCTCCCGGTTGTGTCTGAACACCTGGTTGTCTGATTTCAGTGTCTGATTCTGTCTGGAATCATGTCCCGCAAAACCCTGCCTGAAAATTTTCGTCTTGCCTGGTTGTGTCTGGTTCGCATTCTCAGGCAGAACCAGACAGAACCAGGCACTTGCAAAATTACTAATGTGGGCGGTGTTCTCCCTTGCAGCTCGTACACTTGCCCGAAAACGAACGACTGTCACCGATGCTCCTTCTGTGGCGCTACCTCCCATTGTGCAGCACAATGCAGTAGCTTCCGTGCGTGAGCGCGTCACAACCCCATACGACCCGGCTGCCTGGGACTCGGCTCTGGATGATCTCGGGAGCCGCCTCAGTACAGCTTATGCATAAATCCCTGTTAGAGTGCCCCGGGTTTATGCATACCGTACCTTATGCATACACAGATATATGCATAAACATTGAAGTATGCATACAGCTATAAGAGTGTCAATATCCGTAAACAAAACAACAGCCGCGTGAATCGAACCCACAGCCTCTTGACATTGTACACATACGACACAACAGACCACTACGCCAATGTTCCATGCTGTTTGTGTGTTGCTTACAGTAGATATACTCTCTTCAATACTGACATAAACACAAGGCTTTTGTTGAACTTGTCGTTCATCACAGTCCAGTCATACTTCTCAACACTGCTTGCATACTCACCCTCTCCTCGGGATGCCTACCTATGTCTAAGATTGTGTTTATACATACATCCGGTTTATGCATACACCCCGTTTATGCATACAACGTGTTCATGCATACAGCTGGTTTATGCATACAGCCCGATTATGCATACGGCTGGCTTATGCATACAGCCGGTTTATGCATGCGGTGTGATTATGCATACAGCACATTTATGCATACAGCGCATTTATGCATACGTCCCGTTTATGCATAAACACTTCATATGAGTAAACACAGCGTATATTGGTGGGGCAAGATGACAGTGATGTACCGTCAACTCCAGGTCCGAGTCCATGGGGGTGAAGGCGAGATAGTGGGCTGGTGTAAGTGTAGAAATGAGGAATCCGGGGTGAAGCAAGATTTGCGGGGAAAGCGAACGCGAGGTGCGCGAGGAGGTCAGAATAGACGAGACCGAGGAGGATGATGAGCGCGAGTGCGAGATCAAGGGCGAAGGGGAACGCGCGGTGCGTCTAGATCGATGCGTCGCATAGGGCTGCCGTATCAATCCTAGGTGAACACGGGCGGATCGTGATGGGCGTGTGCGAGGCGGGACGGACAACGTGCGCGGAAAATGTGCATGAGGACGACATGGACGGGAGCCAGGCGGAGGCGCATAGCCACTAGCGTGGTCAGGTGGTTGAGGGACGATGAGTGGATGTGAGTCGTAGAGAATGGAGCAACGTGACACTGCGAGGACACAGGAGCTGAGAGAGAGCCCTGGTGTCGATTCCTGGTGTGTGCGTCTACCGGTCATGGGTGTGATGACGAGGCCGGACACGGTGAGTACGCACCTCACGCTCACCGCGCAGGCCGGGACGGCCGAGTGAGGCGGAAGGGCGTGCGCTGGCCAGGGACCATGCGCGGAGGTGTTCCTCGAGCACAGCCACCCCCGCAGTGCCTGGATGACGTGCAGGTCGATCACATCCCGCTTTTCTCGGAGCACACACCAGGAATTGACGCCAGGGCTCTCTCTCAGCTCCTGCGTCCTCGCAGTGTCGCGTTGCTCCATTCTCTACGACTCACATCCACTCATCGTCCCTCGACCACCTGACCACGCTAGTGGCTACGCGCCTCCGCCTGGCTCCTATCCATGTCATCCTCGCGCACATTTTCTGTGCACGTTGTCCGTCCTGACGCGGGAGTGGGCCGCGAATGCCAATCGGAGGAGAGGGAGGGGTGGATGGGTAGAGATGGAGGTTGGATGACCTCGATGTAGTGGTGCAGAGGCGTCGCCGGCACTAGGCGCAAAGCAGACGCAAACTAGAGTCACACGAGGGATGTCTAGCCCAAAAAGACCAAGTTAACATAGCTCTACAGACATACAGGCAATCGAGATACTCACCTAGCCCACAAAGACCAAGAGGCCGAGATGAGGGCTAAGACACGAAGTGCAAGTGCTAACTGTTACGTCGAAGTCTGAGTTCTGTCGGGAACGAGGCCTAGACGCCGGGTGGTTATGTCCGTACGAAGTCTCTTGATGCCAATGCGAGTGAGCACGGTGCACTATCGAGTGAACCGGCAAGCGAGCGAGGTAGAAGGCAAGCAAGAGAGTTGATTGGCACTAGGCCAGAGAGGACGTAGCTATACAAGAGGTCGAAAGATGGGGAGCGCTATGCTGCATCATCCCTCTTATAAGTACAAAGGCCTCGAGGCCACAGTCCACGAGGGGTGAGGTAACGGTGCATATACAGTGAGTCCATACGAGTCAGTACGCATCATGGCTACGGTGTGTAAGGAGATAGGTCGCGGTGAGGTTGCCATGAGGTACGTGCATGTCCAGGATGAGGCTGCGCAGCAGCATGAGGCCGAGACAGGGGTCATAGTACAGTAGCCCCTGAGGGCACGAGGCATAGTCCATGACGGAGATGACGAGGATAGGAGGAAAAAGGTGGTCGTACGTATGGTGTCTGTAACGCTAAGAGAGTCCGCGATACGGGCGCTTAAGCGCGGGAACAACCTTCCAATATAGTAAAAGGCAGGGAAAAGACGAGGAAAAGGCGAAAAATAATACATAGGGCGAGTCCAGAGTCCGTTCCACGACGCGTCCCGCCTCGCACACGCCCATTGCAATGTGCCCGCGTTCACCTAGGATTGATACGGCAGCCCTATGCGACGCATCAATCTAGACGCACCGCACATTCCCCTTCGCCCTCGGTGTTGCCTTCGCCCTCAGTGTCGCACTCACGCTTGTCATCCTCCTCGGTCTCATCCATTCTGACCTCCTCGCACACCTCGCGTTCCCGCAATCCAACTCTCTTCGCGTTTGCTTTCCCCGCAAATCTTGCTTCACCCTGGATTCCTCATTTCTACGCTTACACCAGCCCTCTATGTCCATTGTCGCCTTCACCGCCGTGGACTTGGCCCTGGGGTTGATGACTGTCGTCTTGCCCCACTGGTATACGCTGTGTTTACCCATATGAACTGTTTATGCATATGCACCATTTATGCATAAATAGGGTGTATGCTTAAATGCGCTGTATGCATAATCACGCTGCATGCATAATCGGGCTGTATGCATAAACCGGCCATATGCATAAACCGGCCGTATGCATGAACACGTTATATGCATAAACAAATCGTATGCATAAACGCGCTGTATGCATAAACTTACTTGTGTCATCGGCATAGTCACTTACGCCTCTACAGGAAGCAAAAGATATATTATGTGCTGCACAGGTGAGCTGATATCCGTTGGACATGGGCGGGAGATCATAGTGGGCATCTTGCATTACCCACAGTTGAGAGAGGATGGTCAGCTGGGGAGGACGGGAGTACATTAAGTCGACGTATTGAGAAATATAACGGTACATATAAAGAAACATATGAATCTTAATGGACTCATGGCGCAGTGGTAGAATTGCCTCCCACCTCCCCCTTTTGGGTTGGGTTGGGTGTTCGATTCCCCATTGCGTTGTTTTATTTACGGACATTGACGCCTCTACAGTTGTATGCATATATTCGCGTATGCATAATTCACAATATGCATAAGCCCGGGGCACTCTAACAGGGATTTATGCATATCATGTACTGCTATGTATGGATCTCGGACTTCGGCACCGGCACGAGAACCTGACGCGATGGCCACGAGAAGGCTTCCCGATTGGCGACATGGCGCCCATCCTACACACGACTATCCACGACAATTACCCGGGCGTGAACGAACACATGGACTTCATAGAAGAATACGTAAACGGAGAAGTCGCAGCAGGCCGCATGTCCGGGCCGTACACACGCGAGCAGGTCGAGAGCATCTTGGGCGGCCCGTTCATCTCGTCCCCTCTCACAGTCGTGCCGAAGGCGAACGCGAAGCTGCGTCTGGTCCAAGACTGTTCGAAGGACGACAAATACGGACTTTCAGTGAACGGGCGTATCGACTCAGACCTCTTCCCGACCACTTGG